CAGGGGGCAAGGGGATTGGTGCGAAGTGTGAGGTGTGAGGTGCGAGGTGTGAGGTGTGAGGTGTGGGCGTGGTGCATCCGAGAGTCGATGAGAGGATGAGCGACGGGAGCGGTGGACGGGCAAGAGTGGGGTACGCGGCGCCGCCAGACCCAGGGCCCACCCAGCACGGCAGCGCAGCGCAGCGCAGCGCAGCGCAGCGCAGCGCAGCGTCGCCCAGCATGCACAGCGTGCCACAGCGTGGCAGCGTGCCCTCACGTGTGCCGGGCGTGATGCAGTTGCTGTCAAATCGCGCGTCGGGCTCGGGCACCGGCTCCCCCCGCCGCACAGCAGCCTCCATCGCCTCCTGAGCCTCCCGCGCTGCAGGCGGCGGGCGGCACAGCGCGGCCCCCTCGTGCTGCTGCTGGCTGGCTGGCCGGCCGGCCAAACCAGCAGCGGGTAGAGCCGCAGGCAGGGCAGCTGCCAGGCACCGGCAAGGAGGCTCGCTGCTGTGCAGGCGTCGGCGGCGGCAGCGTCGGCGGCGGCGCCCCACCCGACTTGAAGCGTCGTGCGCGCTGCTGGTTCATCTTGGCGCGAGGCGCGCTGCCGTCTATCGCCATGAACAGCAGCTTCTGCGTGTGGGGAGGGGCAGGGCGCGAGGCAGCAGGGCATGGTGTGGTGTAATGTGGGGGGATGCTAGGGCCACAGGCGGCTGCCACCGCCGCCAGCATGAACCCTCCATCCACCCAGCCACGCGTCCAGCCACCCAGCCAGCTCTTCATACGCCTCCAGCCACCCACCCAGCCACGCAGCCTTGCCGCCCGTGCCCCTGCCCCCGCCCCTGCCCCTGCACCCCGCCCCCTGCCTGCGGCTTGACGATGTGGAACAACTTGTCCAGGTAGGTGAAGATCTTGAGGATCATCTCCTCCTCGGTCAGGCGCACGTCCGGGTTGTTGCCGTGGGTGCAGTTGTGGATGATGCCGTTCTGGAGGGGAGGGGAGGGGGAGGGAGGGAGGCAGGGGATGTGGGATGAGGCGGAGACGTGAGGCAGGCAGGCAGCACAGGCAGCGCAACGGGAGCGCCGCCCTGCCGCAGGCAGCGGCAGGCTGCGTGTGCCCGGCGTGCGCTGCTGCTGCTGCTGCTGCCCTTTGCCGCCCCCATGCTGCCGCCTGCCGCCTCACTCACCATGTCAAGGTACAAGTTGTCTGCAGGTACAGAGGCAGGCAGGTGGGGTGAGTCAGGTCAGCTGCTGCTGCCCTGGGCCAACCATGCCAACGCAGCGAGAAACCGGGCAGCGAACCGGGCAGCAGAACAGGGCCCCATTCGCGGCTCTGCAGGCGGCGGCGGGCGGCGCACCGATGATGGGCACCACCGTGGCGCCGCCCGGCTGGTTGACCAGCGGGTAGCGCTCGCTGAGCCATCTGTAAAACTTGGGAATTCCTGCAGCCGGCAAGCGGTGACTGTTGGCTGCCTGCTGCGCGCCTGCGCACGCGGCGCCGCTTACGGGTGCCGTTCACGGCGGCAAGGCTTGATCGATCAGCCAAGGTTGCGACCGTGCCCCAATCGGCGTCGCCGTTCCGGATCTCATGTGCAGCACACATAGCCCTAAGCCAAGCTGTCCAGCGACTCCCGTGGCTAAAATTGGGGTGCAACTCATCGCAGGGCAGGGTGGCCTCAGGCAGCAGGCCATCGCCACTCACCCATGTCGTCTCCACGAAACCTCCAAAAAGTCTCGCGCCCTCTTCCTTGCGGCCCTCAGAGCTACGAGCTCATCAACGTGTCCGTCCCGCGCGTCCCAGAACAGCACCAACTCAGACGTTGCTGATCAGCTGACGACGATCAGCCCTCCCAAGGCGGGCGGGCAGGGTCTGCCTCCCCCTGTCCTGCCGTCCCGCCGTCCACCGCCGCCCCTCTCCCTTGGGTCCCACCGCAGGCCTCACAGCACCCGCGACATGTTCTCCAGCAGGAATTCACAGGCGAGGGTGCATCTAAAGCCAGGTGATTTGCATTCTGAAGCCGGGCAATTCATATTCACGGGCGGGGGAGCGCAGTTGCGGGGGAGAGAAAATGCCCGCGCCCGGTGCAGGCAGAGCGGAGCAACAGCAGACGTGACAAGAGAACAGGTGGGGAGTGAGGGAACACAAGGGAAGGACTGCAACAGAGGAGGGTGGGGTGGTCCCAGGTACGCTCTTGCGCGGCCATACGAAATGGCGGCGGCATGGACAGGAGAGCGACAGTGCGGCATGACATGCGCCTTGCACTGCTATCGCATGGAGGTGCGCTATACTGAGTACACATGGACAAAGCTGGTGGGGTCGGCTCGTTCGTTTGCACCCCTCGCGGCGCGGCTCGCCCAGCCCACGATGCATCGACGGCAGGGCGGGAGGCGGGGCCAGGGCTGGCACGCCGGGGCCGGGGCCCCTGCTCACTCGGGCCCTGCTCACTGGTTGTAGGAGCTGGTGGTGATGGAGTCGGAGGACCCAAAGGTGGGGTCCCACACTGCGGGAGGAAAGGACGGAGGAGGGGCCCCGCAGGGGCGCGCTCGGCTCGGGCAGGCGCACAGCACACACTCGCGAGGGCGCGGCACAAGGCAGGCAACCAGAGGAACATGCAGTGCGCCAGGATCCCGCGGCTGCCCCCCCAACACACCCACCCACCTGTGTGGAACCAGCCCTCCTTGCCGTCGGTGCGCTCGTAGGTGTGGGAGCCGAAGAAGTCGCGCTGCGCCTGCGGGCGGCAGGGCAGGGCACAAGGGGCAGGGCAGGGCAGGGCAGGCAGGCGCCAGGCGGGCCTGTCAGCAGGCTGGCACGTGCAGGCTGGCAAGCAGGACGCGATGGCGGCGCCCGCTGCCGCAGCCACCGCCGCCCCGTCGCCGCCGCCCCGCACCTGCACCAGGTTGGCGGGCAGCCTGCCGCGGCGGTACGTGTCGAAGTACGCCAGGGAGGAGGTGATGCCGGGCACCGCGATGCCCGCGCCCACCGCCAGCTGCACCACCCGCCGCCACGCAG